CCTCTTATTAATTTAATGCGCGAAATTATTAAAAAATAATAATTTGCTTACACTAAAAAAAAGTAATACAAAAATATGAAGAAAACAAAATTCTACTCTCAGTAAAGCCGATATGCACAAGAAAGTAAATCTTACTCTCAGAAAATAGAATTTTACTCTCAGGAAAGTCAAAAGAGGCATTCACAAGAAATGTATCAGAAAGTAAATGTTACTATCAGAAAAATTTTGAAGAGAAGAAGCAATTAAATACATCTAGAAAATGCTTCATATTATAAACAACTGTTAAAAGGCGGTAATTCTCTCTCCATTGCTCCCCCTCTCTCTCTCTCTCTTACGGCTTTTTAGACAAATTTTACAATGACAAGAAACCTTCTCTCAGAGCAATTTTTAAGATTTTACAATACAGAAAGATGTTTTTTTACTCAAAGTGTATGTTGTTTACTTTAATACAACAAGCGAACTTAACGCTGCCAGACTGTTGATAATATGACCGTGGGAAAATTTCAAAAGTAAGACGATACTCAAATATGTTGCTGTAAAAGTAATACCGCGTATATCTTGTTGCTGTAAAAGTAGAATTGTGTGTATTCTGTTGTTCTCATTCTTGCTTGCATTTGCCATTTAAAATCTTATTAAACATTCTTAAACAGCCATGCATGTGCTATTATTGCCAATAGTATCAGAGGTGGCCACGAATTGCTGAGATTTTTTTTGTAGACAATTCAGAAATTTCTATAATTCCAAGAGCATTCCAACTCGAATTTATTTTTCACAAATATGGTATAATATTGATATTGATTAACGTTTCCTATGCATATGTAGACGGTTGTTGGGTTCCCAAGCACAACGTCAAGACCCATCAATCATCAATCGTTCGCAAGTACCAGGATATTTTCCCTATACCTCGAGAACATTTGCGGGGTCACGTAAAGCTATGAAGTCCCTTTTTCTTGTGTACTTGTCGACAAATCAGACGCCCCATGAAGTAATAGAATTTAAATAGACGAATCTTACGAAAAAATTCTCAACTGCGCCGGAATGAAAAAAAAATTTAAAGTTGGTAGATAAATATGATTTATTGCTCCTCTCAAATAGGTGCGCATACTACGATTTTTCCCACAATTTTTCTCATATATTTTAAAAATTATTCGCTTGAGTGACCGGTATTGATATCGCAAAAGTTCAAAATTTCTTGTATTTCTCTATGATGTAATTGGTGTAATATATCGTATATCATATAACAACTCAATCATCGCGGATTGAATTCTCAAGTGCAGTAGAGTCTTCAACGCAGGTGACTATACGATCTAAGTTATCTGACAGCCTTTAAATCAATACTTTGCAAATTTATTTAGAAAATATATATCCAATATATATATAAATAGTTTTTATAACATTACATGATTTTTTGTCGATGGTTTCAGTTGCTAGAAGTTATGCTTCGTTTTGATAATAATAACAATAATACAATTATATTTTACCGTTCAATTTTTTCCGATATATAAAAATATGAATATTTTCAAACGCATTACTTTCAAATTGTTTCATTTTCATCGCATTCGCTTTCTGTGAAGCCATTTGTTATTTTCTTAACAGACAGATCTTACAACTGTTTGTGAAAAATTGACATTTTACAGGTGCTTAGAGAAAGAGAGCAAGATTTACATAGTTTTCAGTTTTCTTGCAAAAAGAAATTTTCTAAAACAGAAAATTTTAAAAGGAATTATGTTAATTACTATTTTTTAACGCACAAATTAATTAACAACTTAGTGCTAAATAAAAGTGATAATGTGTTTTTATAAAAATTTTAGAAAATTCTCGTTAAACTTTTAGAAAATTTTTTCTTGCTTAAATCAACTAAAAATTATCCAAATTACATATTATATATTTTTACGGGCTAGTAAAAGTGGTAATTGTGATGCTGGAGGAAGAAGTGGAAGAAAAGATTCTTACCGTGAATATTTGCGCATACATACGTCTCATTAAAGAAGAACAGCAACAATTATGGCAAATAATACTGCGGTCGCCAAATCACAACAGCAGCAGCAACAACAACAACAACTACATCAATGGAATGCTCAACAATTAACATTAACAGTGGTAGGCGTAATAGATACCCAGGTAAAGTTTCATTGCCGTGATTATGCCAAAAGTGCGACAACAAAACACACAGGCCTAGAAACTAATAATAATGGATATAAATAAATAAAAATACGATTTTCTTTATCTATAAAGATAGGTGAGCATTTGCAAGATCGTGAAAATGCTTTAGAAGAAATACAACAAGCCGTACAATCAGTTGGAGCAAATTTTCAACGTGTGCAAGTATGTGATACTTTTCTTTATTTTATTTTAAATTTTTTTCGTATTCCAAACTCCCACATCAAAAGCGCGATATATAATCAATTAGTCCAAAGTGAGACCAGTCCTCTTGTTGGGTTGATTAAAGTATTAAAGCAATTCGGAAGATATTATCGCGTATACGCAGTAGAACGCGTAACTCGGAATTATGCTTAAACTGTTGTTGAGGAGGATAAAATGAAAAGATGAGAAAAATAAAGGAAATTTTTTTACTTTTTTTAGTTCGACAAGTTGGATTTTGGCGAAACGAAAAAATTGGAAACGTTTTATAATGCCGATGTCGCCATTATTGATTTAAGCATCCAAACGCAACAACGTTCGTTATCGTATCATTTAGGCGTTAGAGAATCATTTAATATGAAAGAAAATATCTTAATCTACAACGATGTTCATTCAAAACAAACGTTAAGTTTAAAGGTAAGTGAACGGCATCGTAGATTGACATGAATTAATTAATTGATAAGAGTGTAAAGTTAGCTTACTTCATTCATCTTTTAATGGTTGCAAATGCGTGCGCGCGTGTGTGTGTGTGTGCATGTTTCCATATGTCTATATTTATTCAAAGTGTGGCTGTAGGTTGATGCTGCTGTAGATTTTGTTTTGTTGTTACGATTTCCGCTTTTCTTTTGCTCTAAAATTTACATTAAATGCATTTTATTATAAGCACAAATCTACATACGCACAATTTATGTGTGTTCTTTAGCTTTTCGGCTGATTAGACAATCACTTTGTTGTTTATCAATTTTAATATGTATTTTTAATGTTGCTTTTTTTGCTAAAATATAGACAACAGAGTTGAGAGTTTGAGAATTGTATTAATATAGGCATACAGAGCTTAACAGAGATTCGATTTTTGTAATTGCTAGCAGAGATTAGAGTTTTGTCGTTTGTAACAGAGATTCGATTTTTGTCAGTTTTAGCAGAGATTGGATTTTTGTCATTTTGAACAAAGATTGGCCTTTTCTCGAACCTTTGCCTGATAAGACTTAAGACAAACGTAAAGCTAACGTTAGCTATAACTAACAAAAGCCGAGAGACATCAGTAATCTCACAAACAGGATTTCAACATATTCATCTTTCCTGTCGTTCCCTTCCCATATCAATTGTCTTAGCAATGAAGTATATTGATCTTGTCATTTCGTTTGTAAAGCATTACTCGATTCGCTGTTTGATTTATCATCTTATGATTGCTTTTGCAGTCCATTCTCTTTCTGTGAAGATCTCAAGGAAGATGCTAAACGTAAGTTTGGTTTTTGTATCTTGATTTTCGAATCCTCGCATCTCCACTCAAGGGATGTCCCTATTGACGTGAAGCGAGCGATAAGAAGGTGGTGGCCGCAACCTAGCACTTGCCTCTTTAAAACTTGCACCAAAAAAATTTACACCAAAAAACTTTACAAAGTCTTTTACGGTCTTCTTAATATCGTGCGTGAAAATCGAAAAATTAACCCAAATTCTTATTTTGAAAATCACTATCAAAAGTGATCGGAAGCACTCCTTATAACTAAGAAAAGAAACTAATGATATAAAAATTGTTTATGTTAAATAAAGAAAAAAGTCGCCCAATAATTTAAAATAATTATCAAAGAAATATAAAAACAATAAAATAACAAATAGGAGACACCTTAATATATTTTTATTCCACAAGTTGACCGCCCAGTTCCCATAAATTCCCCAAGTTCGCCGCCCAGATTCCACAACATAGCAAGAGACGAACAAGTTTTAATTTATAAACAACTATTTGGTTGCATCTCGGTTTATTTTGAATTTATAAACAACCATTTGGTTGCGTCTCGATTTATTTTCAATTTATAAACACAACTATTTGGTTGCGCAATACCATAATCAGCTGTTTTCCTAAGAAAAAATATTAAATTATTTGTATATGTTCAATTATTGCAAACTTAAACGTCAATAGTACCCATCAGACATCCCATAAAATATTTGTTAACACACTTTTAATAAACAATACTCAAGATAAGTAGGAATTAAAGCAAAGCCTGCAAATAATTTGAAATTTTCTCAGTAATAGAATCGAATTGAAATTTGTTTCAGATATTTGCCGGGACTTTATGGGGAAAATAACGATGTCAATGATTGGTTGATATCGAAATTTTTAAATTTGATTTGTCGGTCTGTCTTATCATATGCAGCACCCATAGCGTAGGGTATATCTGCAGCGTTAGCAAAAATGAAATTTACTTTGATTTTTTATACCATCCCAGTGACTTTATTGTGAGTTCTGATTGCCATGATTGCGTTTTCATCTGAATATTTCAAGTTAATAATTGGTTTGCAATTAAACGGTATCAAAACTTCGTTATATTCGTTTAAAAACGCTATTCGCCCACACACATAGGTAAATTGCTATGTGTGGGTTTTATTGTTTATTTTCTCTTTCCGTGCAAGAGCCCCCGCCCTCCTCTTAAACTTTTGCGAGCCTAATTAAACTGGTTTTATACGGTTAGCTAACGTGTGCGCCTTCTCGAGTGTCTTCTCTCTGTTGTTTGTATTATATTGTTGCGTGTTTTTTTTGGTTTTTTATGTTTTTTGCTTTTGTTTGTTTTTGTCTTTCATAAATATTTTGTTTTGCTCGTTATTTTTAGTTTTGTTTACATTTTCTGTTTTCACCGCAATTATACAAGTTTTTAGACTAATGTGTTCAGCGCAGTTTTGAAGTTTTTATAGCAAGCAGCGAATACGATGCCACTCACTAAATCAAAATAAAATTTATTTCTCTCTTGACAGAAAGTTGTAAGTTCTACGGGTACAAATCATTGTAAGAATCTTTGTATATATGATGTCTCTTTGTCCGTCCATTCGTTAAGTATTGAAGCATTTAGGATAGTAAATATTGAAAAATTTTGAAAACAGGGATGATCTGCCCTGATGTAGGCCACGATCCACCATTAAACATCTTACATCACCCTACAGTTATTCATATAACGCCTTTTTCAATTAAGGTATTGTATTGAAAGGCGTCGAAAAAGCGGTTCGATTCCAAGCACTTTCAATAGTATTCCTCCTTGGGTCGAAACACATCGGGACACCAAATGTCATCGAAATATCTTCAAAATTGCAACCTGTAGGTCGAACATAAAAAAAATAAGACATATAGACGGAAGGGGAAGCATGTACACAAATAAATTTTGAGGATTTTTTTTTTGTAACCTTCAGGCCTTTGCAAAGAAATTGATAAAATCTGTTTTATTCAAAGCATTGTCCATCGGTAGCTGGTGGTTTTTTCCCATTTTTCAGGCAGTTTTCGAATTCCATCTTCAAAAGAAGCCCGTCTTTAACGGTTTAACGCTTTGAAAATTCGGAAAAACTATAGGTCATCTATAGAAGGGGTGTGTTAAGCGATGGAAGTAATATCTACTGATAACAGCGTGAAGGTTAAGACAATTCACGTTAGAATTGCAAACATTTCCTAAGCAAATTTTGCTCAGTAGGGACGAACTCCTTCTTATTAAGAACTCACGATATCTTGACTTTTAATATCAATTGCATCAACCACGCCCCTCATCAAAGATATTCAAATTCATCAGTGATGTTATAGGTTAGCCTACTTGATCTGCTTCTTCCTCTTTATCATGATTATTTCATTTTTGGATACTGTAGCGAATGGATTGTTCATCCGTCTTAAGGGTTTAGTGGCGCTGTCCTTTGAATTAACCAGAGAGCAAATTTCATTTTACTAGCACAAAACTACACTATAAGGGATTATGTTGTGTACGCTTTAGCGTCATCGTTTACACACTTGCGTAAACCTTAACAACATCACTTTCACATGGCGAAGTCGCAGTAGGGTACTAACTACAATCACTTTTAACGAACCGGATCGAACCGAAGTAATTTGTACTTCCACACACCTGAAAACACATCAGATGGACAGACGGACAGACAATCTTAAATCGAATCAAAAAGCGCTTTTGAATCGATTGGTATCGATTGGAAAGGCGAAGAACTCGCATTCTATCATATACACACCATACATGGTGGAAATAAGGTAAAGAGTACATGTACAAGAACTTCAATGTGAGGATAGGCGCGAAAAATTAACTTATCGCCTATAAGAAACATTGAATCGAAAGTTAAATATAAACATCACGTCTTACGGCGAATTAAAAGCGTAAAAGTTATTTTATTTGTTAATAGCTTCTAAGATGGCCATTATAAGTAAGACACTTCTAACAAAGTCCATTGAACTTTTACTTAAGATTTCATTTCTTTTCAGCTTTCTTTTCCAAATTACACGTTTCTTTCGTATAAATACAATACGGAGTATAGTGTTTGTAATCTGACTAATTTCAATAAAGAATTACCAGCCGATACAAAGATACCTACGCTGCAGACCCGCTTAAAACGCTTACTACAAGATGTGGAAATTCAATCCAAGTATGTATATAAATTTGAACAGATTTTCTTCTTCTTTCATATTAAACGAATTGTATTCTTTAGAGCTCATATGCGCGAGAAATTCTTAACCGATTTAAGGCAAGCCCGTGAAACTTATGCGACCAATACGAAGAAGTTACAAAACATTTTACATGAAATGCGTAAACGTTTAGATGATGGTCACGTTTTATCGGGCGAAGTTGTGCACAGTTTTATGTATTCATTACGCGATGTCCAGGACTATGACAGCATGGTTTGTTTAGTTAATGATCTAAAGAATATACCGAATACGCGTAAATATGTGGAAACGGGGAATATGAGTTTTTTGTACGCGTTCGCTTTGAATCGTCGCAATCGTAAAGGTGATCGTGAGAGAGCATTGGAATCCTCGCTTAAAGCTTTGGAACGCAAAGAAAATCATTTTCCTGATATGTTATGTCTTTGCGGTCGCATATATAAAGACATATTCGTTGAATCGGATTATACCGATATGAATAGTTTGAAAAACGCTATAAAATGGTATCGCCAGAGCTTTGAAGTGCAACCCAATGAATATGCGGGTATTAATTTAGCCACGTTGCTGGTGATCGATGGTAAAGAGTTTGCGAACACCGAGGAATTGCAACATATCGGCATGACTTTGAATAACCTAATAGGGAAAAAGGGTAGTTTGTCATCTTTAACGGAATATTGGGATGTGGCAACATTCTTTGAAATATCTGTACTCGCCGAAGATTACGCTAAAGCGATTAAAGCCGCCGAATGCATGTTTAAATTGAAGCCACCCAATTGGTATCTGAAATCGACTATAGGTAATATAAGTCTGATTCATCGGTTCCGTAAGAAGGCCGATGATCATCAACCCACCATAGAAGAGCAAATATTTCAATTTTGGATGGATTTCTTTCTGGATGCCACCGATAGTAGTAAAATCAGTAGTATACGCTTTCCAATATTGGTAAGTCGTATTAAGGCAGCCGCTTTAACAGATAAAATGTAAAAATTTTTTTTTTTTTTTTTTGTTCTTTGAATCTCGTTTCTCGTAAAGATTTTGGAACCGCAAAAAATCTATATGCCTAGTTATGTTAATATTAATATGGATGCCGAAGAGAAGTCCATACAAATTGTTAATATATGTTTAGCTCATTCGAAACACGAATGCAAAAAAGTTCATGATTTTGTTTTCACTGCCTCGCAGATCAAATCTGTAAGCCTATATAAACGGGATGATCGTTGCGCCTATCTTTATGTTCATCATAATTCAGATGATTTTCAAATTTACTTCCCTTCGACGGAATGTCGTCAGCGTTTCTATGAATTGATATTGGAAATGGCTGCCGACCAGGAGGTGTTCGTTAATCTAAGCGAAGAAGAACTGCCACAGATTGAGGTAATTTAAGAAAATCTTCATTTTATTGTTATTATGAAATTTTTTTTTATGTACATATATATGTATGTTTTTAGTATGAATATGATTACGATGATCAAAATCGGCAGATTGTATTGGGTAAGGGCACGTACGGAACAGTTTATGCTGCTCGGGATAAACAGACTCAGGTGCGAATAGCTATAAAAGAAGTTCCCGAAAAGAATTCGCAAGATGTTCAACCTTTACATGAAGAAATCAAATTGCACTCACAGCTACGGCATCGTAACATTGTAAGGGTAAGTTTTAGGAGTTTGTTAATACACTCTCTGTTATTGGTAAAGAAGTTTTCATTTTAGTATCTCGGCTCGCTCTCAGAAGATGGCTTTTTCAAAATTTTCATGGAGCAAGTACCCGGTGGTTCCTTATCCGATCTGCTCGAAAAGAAATGGGGTCCTCTTAAGGACAATGAATCGACCATAGCTTTTTATTCTAAACAAATTTTAGAAGGTCTTAAGTACCTGCACGAACAAAAAATAGTTCATCGCGATATTAAGGGTGATAACGTTTTGGTTAACACTTACAGCGGCGTAGTGAAAATATCTGATTTCGGTACATCGAAACGTTTAGCTGGAATTAATCCTATGGTTTCCACATTTACCGGCACGTTACAGTATATGGCTCCTGAAGTGATTGATCTTGGTTTTCGTGGTTACGGTCCGGCTGCTGATATTTGGTCTTTTGGTTGCACCAATGTTGAAATGGCTACCGGTAAAAGACCATTTGTCGAATTGGGTTCAGCTCAAGCGGCTATGTTTAAAGTAGGATATTATAAAACACATCCAACTATACCGGATGAATTATCATCTGCAGCGAAAAATTTCATTCTACGTTGTTTCACAATCGAAGAATCGGAGAGACCCACAGCTGCTCAGCTGTTAGAAGATCCATTTCTATCTGAGTAAGTTTCATAAAAGATAAGCATTACGCCTGAATGAGAGAAATTAGAAAAGTGTTTGCATCTTTTCAGCAAACATCGTAAGCTAAGACTTGGACCGCCGACTAGTTCGGATTTTGGTCGCAGTATTTCAGTGCCAGCTGATCGCTTAGTAACTAAATCCCGTAGCAATAATACACCGACCACACCCGAAATCGAGTAAGTCAAATTTTATTAATTCAGCCAAGAGTTTTACAGCAAAATATAAATAATAAATCGAATAGTGATTGTAAGTTAGGCTTACGTTGAAATGCATAAGGATCTTTAACGTTTCCAAGTGAAGTGATTACTTTTTTAATATTGATTTCGTTTATTTTGCAGAGGACCACATTCGACATCAGTGGATATTGAAAATCTACCCAGTCATCAGTCATTCAATATGGAACGACGGAACTCATCAGGTACTTTACTTTCGCCCGAAATTGAAGTTTCTACCCCATCGCTGCGGACTAGTGCAAGTTCCGAAACAAGTGAAACCAATGATTTTTACCACTTGAAAAAGGAATCTCAGCGTCGCACTACGCTGTCGAAAGTTCTAACCACAGATGAATGTAAAATTTGTGAAATTTGGTTGGAGAAATTGCAAAACGAGCATAATAATATCGTAGCGATAACTAAAACTGATTTACAAAAACTTTTGCATGGTATACGTGAATATATAATGAATGAAAAGGAAAAGCACTTGGAGGCATGCATTAATAGTTTAAAGGAACAATTGAATTACGATGCAGCTGCATTGGATCATTTACATTTGGCTTTATATTCATTTCAAGATGCCGTTATATCGGTATTAAGAATGCATTCAATTAAACCTCATTGGATGTTTGCTTTAGATAATTTGGTTAAGCAGGCGGTACAAGCGTGCGTAATGATTTTATCGCCAGAATTGGGAGCAAATTTATTGGGCAAAGATGCCTCGCTGATAGACGATGAAAGTGTGCACAATCAACAACAAACCTCTACGGACAGTCAAGAGAAGGTTGGCGTTTACGGGGAAAGCGGTGGTGTTGCGGGCGGTAGTGGTGCGATTATTGGCGGCGGTCAAAGTGCTAGCACTAGTGCTGCGACTAATGATGAAGATAGCAATTCCAGCTTTAATGCCACCGAATGCGTAAAACTCTTGAAGGATATACGCGAATCGAATCGGAAATTTCATCATCAACATTTGGAACATCAAAAGCAAAGCCTAAAAACTTTGCAAAATATCAACAGAGAATTGACAGACTTTTATGTATGTCGCAAGCGCACGAAACGCATTAAATTTAGAGCAATAAAAAATAAAAAATCAAATCGTCTTTATAAGTTGAAAATGGAAAGGCGATCGAGATCGTTAAGCAATTGCAATGGTTTAGAAGAAGTGGATGAACAACTTGAAGAGTGGCTAACGCAACATGATATTGATGAGATATCTAAGAGTATTATACTGAATGAAGGCTTCTCTTACGACGATTTCATCTACAATATGGAAAAATTAGATTTAATGCGTTTGGAATTGAGGTTAGTTTCGATCCAATCGAATTATATTCTTAGCGAAATTCTATATTTTTTGGATGGAAACGCATCGTAAACGCGTGTGTATGTAGAAAATGCTGTAAGTAGTAGTATGAGTCAAAACTAATTAACGAAAGATCGCGATTTCCGCAAGGGCAGCTAATCATTGCTAATATCTGTGAAATCAAGGGTTTTCAAGGGCACGTTGAAATTGGCAAATATCAGACATAATCTTTGATATCAAGCGATCATGTATCTTGAAATATTTTGATTTTGAGATTTTCCAAATTTTCGCTAAGAATTTTCGTATTCGAACTTGTTATGTTGGCTTTATTAATGAAAAGATTCTTATTTCTTCTCCTTTAGGCTGGGCGTTGAAGTACGTTTATGGTGTTTAATTACTCAACAACGGTCTAGAAATCTAACTGTAAACTCAAACAGCACTAATAACGATTTAGTGAACATCAATTGTAATAATTTAAATAATAACAACAATAACAATAGTCCTTTAAATCCAGTGGCCTTAAATCATAGAAATCACTTTAGCTGCCAGAGACGTAGTAGTCAACGACGTTGTGACAGTGAATATGATTCATGTAGTGAATAAGTAAAAAAAGTTTTCATGTTAAAAAAGCTCTCCTTCCTAGTGTTCGTTCGTTAAATAAAAAATTAAAAATTTGTTATTATTGTTAATTGAAAATTGTTTCTTCCTCATACGTGATGTCTAACTTAGTATTTTAAGGCTTTTTATACTATATAATATTTGTATGCTCTTACCTTAGTTAACAGTTAAGATAAAAGTTAAATAAATAATTTTTCGATTTTGATTTTGCTAAAAGAGCTCAAACAAATGGCCTCTAACTGTTTAATTAAAAGTAACAATACCGAAGTAGAAAATGGGTGTGGACCATTTTCTCGTTTACTGGTTTGTGTCGAGGCCTTTCTAAGCCCCGCTTAGATAGAACATAATCTGAAAGGAGAAACAGCTGTAGAATGTATAGAAAATAATTCCTTAGAAAAGTCTGAGGAGGCAGCGCAACAAATGTTCTGGAAAGTTATATTACACCGTCTGCACGATGTTCTGGACAACACTGGTTCTTTGCTTTCATATGGGAATCCAAAGTACTTTTTTGCGCATTTTATTACTCTCCGATGCTTCCAAATTTAGAGTCGCAATTGTAATCAAACGAACAAATTCGCACTCGCTCTTTTATTACTTTCCGATGCTTCCAAATTCAGAGTCGCAATTGTAATCAAACAAGAACA